TATTTTTTTGATATCTTTCACAGAAAATGAGATATATAGGCTCAAAGTGGACGATCCGGGTGTCGTTCTATTAGAGGTTTTACATATATTGAGATAATTGAGCTCAAAGTTGATAGCACGCTATTCGACCTTCAGCCGCCGTTTGTCCGCTATCCGGCAACCCCGCATTACTTGTGAACTTTTAACTTTGCCGATTTTTCTCGGTTCCCGTCAGAGATATAAAAAAAGTTATCAACTGATAAATTGTATATCATAATATCAAAATCATTTTGTCAGTTGACACATTTTTGATATCTCGCATAGGAACCGAGAAAATTATGCTCAAAGTTGACAGTCTTGGGGTCCTTCCAAGTTTTATAGTAAATCTCGTTAGTCCTACCTCATAAGTTTCGTCTTCTTCTACTTTTGGTTTTCCGGAACCTAAAAAAACAATAAAAGTTCAAGAATATTTTAGTATTCCATGTTTCTCACCTAGTAATCTATTCACGACATCCACTTTAGACTTGGCAGCTGTATTGAGTAGTGCTCCAATATCCACAAATCCATCTTCAGTTTTGAATTCTTGCAGTACTATTTCAAGATATTGTTTGTCGACTAGAGATCCATCTTTCTGTATGCATATTTATATTTGTTACATCGTAAAACCTGTAATAGAAGAACCTCATAACTTTTGGCTTTGACCCAATTTATCTCGGTTCATGTCAGAGATATGAAATAGTTGTCAACAGATAATTTGTTCATCATAAAATAAGAAATGTTTTACCAGTTGACAAATTTTTGATAGCTTTCATAGAAATCGGGATGATTGAGGTCAAAGTTGACAGTGTTGGGGTCCTTCTACAGTGCGTAACATAAGTATAAAGCTACCCCGAAAACAAGAAAAAACTATTTTCTCTCATAATTTTCGAAAATCTGAAAGCAGAATCGTAATCAGCATTCAAAATTACCATAAGAAATGGTTCTGTTCCGGCAAAAAAAGCAAAAAAAAAGCCTAAAATGGTTTTGTTCCTGCATCCGGTCAGTTTTATGGATGAAATTACCCAAATTGTTTATCTAGGGTTATTTTGGATGTTGATTACGATTCTTTTTTTAGATTTTCAGAAATTGTGATTTCAAAAAGTTTTCGCTAGTTTTTGGGGTAGAACCCCAACTCTGTGAAGTTTGAGCTCAATTATTTCTTTTCCTATAAAAGCTATCAAAAATGCGTCAACACAATTTATCAGTTCAGATTTTTTTATTTCTCTGACAGGAACTGAGATGAATTAGGGTGAAAGTTAAAAGTTAAGGGCCTCTTCTATTACAGGTTATACAGTAAAAAATCAATAAAAAAGAGAAAATACGAACCACTGCGTTGAGAATATCGTCGATTTTAATAGTTGATGTTTTGACTGCTTTCGCAAATCCAATATCATCAACTTCCACTTCATCGGCCTTTCTATAGATATCATATAAACGACCAACTGATATCTTCTCTCCAAGAAACTTCCATTGCTCTTGCAAATGTTGCGATGTAACGTTTCTTCCACAACAATTCAGAATCTAAAACCTACTTCTCAATTTTGATATAATTTCTATTACTCTTGTAGAATTTCAATAGGCGTACAGTTCGAAAATTATCGTCTGTCGAGCAGCGAAAACAGCTACGGTTTTTCAAATTAATGCATGCACCTCCAATACCGTACCTCGCAACTAATTTATGTTCGGCTTATAAGGGTTAGACAAAAATTGACAAAATCGAGCGAAAAATTGAGGGAAAAATACAAAAATGAAATTAATCTTGAAGTACGGTATGAAAGGCGCATGCATTAATTTGAAAAACCATAAGCTGTTTTCGCTGCTCGATCGACGATATCTTCTGACCGCAAATCAGATCGGAGTGAAAAAACTCACCGTATAAGCTTGCTGAATATTCACTTGCGTTTTCGTATCACCCATGATTTTACGGTAAAGCTTACGGAATTCTTCATCTGACAAAGCATCGCCAGCTTTTATCTCTTTTCCATCGGACGACATGAATAGAGAATTGGCATCAAGGGAAGGGGAAGCGAAGCGGAGCAGGTGACTCAGAAAGAGCAAAGCCTTTGAAGAGAGTGAGACGCGCTTCTTGGTTGCTATGGGGACATGGGCTTCTTCAGCTGCCCGAGATAAAATTTATTGAGTCAAATGTTTTATAGAACAAGAATAGATTAAAAAGTAGGAAAATTTAGCACATAAAATATTCAAGGAATGATTTTTATAAACCGGAATTCAAATTTTGGAATTGAAGCTATCATTTCATAATTTCTTGATGAGGACAGCAGTCGCTTCTCCACCTCCATTGCAGATTGCAGCGACTCCGAGTTGTCCTGGAGCAAGTGAATAGGCCAGAGAGTTGACGATTCGCAGACCGGACATTCTGAAAAATTAACTTTATGATAGGCTTATAAGGGAAAAATATACTTTTTAGACCAAAAAAGGGCGGGAGATTCAAACAGGGATCTTCACCGTATTAATGAAATCATATAAAATTGAACTGCTATACCTACCCCAATGGATGTCCAATAGCAACTGCTCCACCCTTAACATTTACAACACTGGGATCGATATTGAGTTCCTTGATGAAAGCGAGAACAGTGACGGCGAAAGCCTCGTTCAACTCCCACAAAGAAATATCGGAAACTTGTAGTCCACTCTTTTTCAGAAGTGCTCGAACGGCATCCACGGGAGCAACGGTGAAATCTATTGGAGCTCTTCCAGCTTCGGCGAAAGCAACAAGTTCAGCTAATGGCTTGGCTCCAGATGGTAGTTGATTTTCTCCAACAACAACTGCTGCAACAGCTCCGTCATTCAGCGAGGAGGCGTTTGCTGGGGTGATGGTTCCTGATCCGTCGCGAATGAACACTGGCTTCAGAGAAGATACCTAAAATGAATTTTTAAAATTGTTTTCTTGATATTTCCTACCTTTGATTCTATCAATTTTTTGTATTCTTCATCTTCGGAAACCACAATTTCCAAACGTGCGGTTTTAACAACAACCGGAATAACTTCTTCCGAAAACTTTCCAGAACTCCATGCGTTTGAAGCCTTTTTGTAGCTTTCAATGGCATACGCGTCCTGCTCCTCTCTTGTTATTCCATAATCCTTGACGGTTTTCTCAGCACATAATCCCATTGGTCCTCTTTCTTTGATGTCTTCAAGTCCATCTTTGGCAATGCCGTCAGTTGTTTTGATGCCTCCGTATGGAATCTCACCACGCGGAAGATAGAAAGGCACTTGACTCATGTTCTCGGTTCCAACCACAAGAATGGTATCGTAATATCCAGCCTTGATCTCCACGGCAGCCGTGACAAGCGCTTTCATCGAGGAGGAGCATACTTTGTTGACAGTTACGGCTTGAGTTGTAACTGGAAGCCCAGCCGACAAAGCGATTTGGCGAGTAACGTTTTGGCCGAGACCAGCTGGAAGAACACAACCACCGATGACTTCTTCGATCTTCTCCGGGGCAATTCCTCAAAGCCAAAAATACAAAAATTGTTTTGAGAAGCTAAAAAACCTGATCGTTCAATGGCAGATTTTGCAGCTACTGTTCCAAGCTCAACTGCTCCGAAGTTCGCAAATGATCCTCGGAAAGAAGCGATTGGTGTACGAGCACCACTCAGAATGAATACCTTCTTATCGGACATTTCTGGGTCTGAACCAGAAAGTTTTGGAGAAGAAAAAATTTTTTGAAAGAGAGAAAGAACGATCAAAGAGAGAAAATATGAACAGTTCTGAACAGGTTGTCTTGGTAAAAAAAAAAGGAAAAATAGAGAACCAAATCAGAACTATTTACCGGAATCTTGATATGAACAAGGAAGCGAGCGACAAGCAATAATTACAACTAATAAAGAACTATCAAAATTAAAAAAAGTATTTCATCTACAGCTTCTGAATGACCATTCCACTGGAGCCTCCTCCTCCGTTGCAAATGGCAGCCACTCCGATTTCGCCGCTTTTAAGAGTGTGAACAAGATGAGTGATGAGGCGGGCTCCGGACATACTGAAACAAAAAACAAATCGATAAACAGTTTGTTGATAAGAGAATGCGGAAAGAACGGTCAACTGATATGGCAACACATACCCGATGGGGTGACCGATTGATACAGCTCCTCCGTGTGGGTTGACCAAAGAAGCATCAACTCCGAGTTTCTTGATGAATGCAAGAGGAACGCATGAGAATGCTTCATTGACCTCCCATTGAGCTACATCTGATTGCTTTACTCCGGCTCTCTCAAGAATCTTCGGGAACATCATTGTTGGAGCAACAGCGAAATCAAGTGGATGAGTAGCAGCATCTCCATAAGCCAAAATACGAGCTAATGGCTTCAAGTTCTGAGCAGAAACAGCTTCTTTAGAAGCGACGACAACGGCAGCAGCTCCATCATTCAAAGTGGAGGCGTTGGCAGCAGTGATAGTTCCATCTAAAAGAAACTATTGTGAGAACCCTCTGTGTCCACTCAAACTTGAGCTCAAACCTTTCTGGAAAACTGTGCGAAGGGTGTTGAACTTTTCAAAATTGACTTTTGTGAACTCTTCGTCCTTATCAACAATCGTGACTCCCTTCTTGGACTTCACATTCACTGGCACCACTTCTGGCCCGATGTTTCCGTTCTGAATATTACTTAACATCATAAACTACAAAGAACTATCAAATTTTTCAAACCTTCCACGCTTCAGCTGCTTTCTTATAACTGCTGATGGCATAATCATCTTGGTCTTTGCGGGTAATTCCCATTTCCTTAGAAGTTTTCTCTCCACAGTTACCCATATGAATCTTGTCATAGGCATCGGTGAGTCCGTCTTTTACAATTCCATCCTACAAATAATTCTACGATGTTGAAATCTTGAATGAGCTTCGCTTACAATCACTTGGAATCCTCCATACGGAATCTCTCCACGAGGAACGTACAGTGGCACTTGGGACATGCTCTCCATTCCTCCTCCAATAGCCAAATCCTGGTGTCCGGTTTGGATTTGTTGAGCAGCAAGAATAATAGCCTTCAATCCAGACGAGCATACTTTATTCACTGTGGTGACAGCAACCGACAGATCTAGACCAGCTCCGAGAGCTGCCTGGCGAGCTGGAGCTTGGCCAACATTTGCTTGGCAGACTTGTCCAAGGAAAACCTCCTGAATAGAGCTTGGCTTCACTGCTCCTCGCTCTAAAGCAGCTTTGATGGCGACGGATGCGAGTTCTGGTGCTGTTACAGAAGCAAGAGAAGAACGGAACGATCCAATTGGAGTACGGGCAGCTCCAACGATGAAAGCGTCCTTGTTGGAGAGAGCTGCGGATGTGGACAGTCCACGACGGAGAGCGTGCCCAGAAGAAGAAATCATTCTGAAATAATCAGTATGTTAAAAATGATAACAGTTCAATCCGGAAGAGAAATAGTTGCAACGGTACAAAGAAGCTAAAACGAAGCAGGGAAAAAAATTTGACACCTGACAGCAGAGCGTGCTTGCAATTATTTTGTATAGAAAAAGAAAAAGATGTCGGGCAGACGGCATTTTTGATGACAAATACTAACTTTCGGTCATAAAGTCATATCTCTCATTTGTCCGAAATTTTATCAGACAAGAACAGAAACTTTTTAGCCTGAAAAAAGTAAAGATTTTTCACGAGTTTCTGTGTAGAAAAAAGTCAGCTGTTCTTTGAATATCGAAAAAAAGAAGAAAAGAACCGACGCAGACAAAGATCACACATCTCTGATCAAACAATCATTTTTTGTAGCTATGGATTTCTCATCGAATTCTGCTGAAAGGGTTGAAGGACAATACAGGAAAGACTGAAAAGTCTGTCGAGGAGCTGCAATGGCAGGCACCTGCTACATTGATAGACAGAAACAATGCGAGAAAAAGACAAAAAAACAAAAAAAACAATGAAAAATGGAAAAAAAATGTTGTCGTGGTGAAACCATGTCTCTAAATAACGCATGTTCCTTTGAATACCTACAGTAACACTTTGAAGGAACATCGCTCCAAACGAAAGTGTCCCCACACGATATCCAGTTACTGTCTTTGATTGAAAAATTCGATCCGATTTCTTTGAGGAATTTTTCGAAATTTTGCTGCCGAATATGCCGAGAAAGTCCCTTTTCGATAATAATATGATGCTCTGGATAATTTTTATTTGATATTTCTTCAATTTGCCAGGTTTAGAATCTTCATAACTTCCGATTTGCTGCCATTTTTTGTTCCAAAGCGTATTTTCGAATCGCCAACAGAAAAATACTTCACGAAGCTCTTTCATAACATAGTTTTTCCCCAATGTTTGCACAATGCTCAACAGTTGCAACACTTTTCATCGGATACAAAATTGATTGTGAGGAAGAGTACGCCGAATTACTTTCCAATTGGACGAATTTAAATACCTCCCTTCTTATTTTTACTGTCACTTCCTCATCTATTTGATATGTTTCAACCTCCTGCCAATTTTTTATGTATGAACGGCGCGCGCGCCACGAAAACCTTCGCAAACGCGCTCCAGTGAAATGTAAAATTTTACAAAAAAATTTAGGGAACCTCGGCGAGCAGTTTGGAACTTTGAGCTTATCCTAAGCTTTTCCAACTGTTCGACAAACTGAAAATGTTCCAAAATTAAAATGATCTGAAAACATCTCGAAATCCAGTCATGATTACTGTTTAAATTCATCTAATCCTAATTTAAAATTTAGGACTCTTTCCTAAATAAGTTCATAAATGCTTCTATTTCCGTGTTTTCACCTGATTCTTTCTAGTTTTTCATTTATCTTATTTCAGCGTACTCTGAAAGCTGCTATCCAGCAATGAGCGAGCCAGAGGCCAAATTGAGTAAGAAGTAAGTGAGAAAATGATGATAACGGTTCAAACGCTGTTGAGTCGTTCGGCAGTTTCGTTTCTGAGACCGCGGTTACTTCTTGGGACAAACGCATATCTGAGCCAAAACACTCGGTTAGTCGATGTGTCCTCAGATGCCAAATGAATACCCTTAACAATGAAAAATTTTCAGTGAGCAGAAACGGCTCGCCAAGCAAGCCAAGAAGGAGCAGGAGCGTCTTGAAAAGGAGGCTGCAAAGCTGAATGTGGCTGTGGCCGATGCGCCAAAAGCTCCTCGTGAAGCTGATCCTTCCGATCCACAAGAATACTTCAACATGAGAGTTCGTATGATCGAGGCCCGTAGAGCTGCAGGAGAGAATCCTTTCCCTCATAAATTTAATGTGACTATCTCGCTGACGGACTTCATCGCCAAGTACTCTCCGCTCCAAAATGAGCAAGTTGCCGATGAAATCGTTTCTGTTGCCGGACGTATTCACTCCAAGCGCGAGTCTGGATCAAAACTCGTGTTCTACGACATTCACGGGGAAGGAACGCATATCCAAATCATGGCCAACGCGAGATTCCACACCGGAGACGTTGATTTCGTAACACTTCATGATCGTATCAAGCGTGGAGATATCGTTGGATTTACTGGTCAAGCAACCAGAACCAAAGCTGGAGAGTTGTCACTGATCCCGAAGGAAGTTTTGCAGCTCACCCCATGTCTTCATATGCTTCCGCATTCCCACTTCGGGCTTAAGGACAAGGAATTGAGGTGAAGCTTCGATCATCGGATGAAAATTTATAAATCCGATTTTCAGATTCCGCAAGCGCTACTTGGATCTCATTTTGAATCCTCGCGTCAAGGACAACTTTGTGATCCGCAGCAAGATCATTACATTCCTTCGTCGTTATCTGGACAATCTCGGTTTCCTTGAAGTCGAAACCCCAATTATGAACCAGATTGCTGGTGGAGCCACTGCCAAGCCTTTCATCACCCACCACAACGATTTGGATATGAATCTCTTTTTGCGTGTTGCTCCGGAGCTCTACCATAAGATGCTCGTTGTTGGAGGAATCGATCGTGTTTATGAGGTTGGACGTCTTTTCCGTAATGAGGGAATCGACTTGACCCACAACCCGGAATTCACAACTTGCGAGTTTTACATGGCGTATGCTGACTACGAAGATGTCATCCAGCTCACTGAGGATCTTCTCAGTAGCATGGTTTTGGCTATCAAGGGAACTTACAAGATTGAGTATCATCCAAATGGACCAAATACCGAGCCAGTGTACGAAGTTGATTTCACTCCACCGTTCAAGAGAGTCAATATGTATGAGGGTCTTGCCGAGAAGCTCAATACTAAGCTTCCTGATCCATCGACTTTGGATACAGAAGGTTAGTGGATTTTATTCAGTATACTTATAATTTCTAACTATTTCAGAAGCTCGTCAAACTTTCGACAAACTATGTCGTGACAACAATGTTGATTGTTCTGAGCCACGTACCACGGCTCGTCTTCTTGACAAGCTCGTCGGAGAATATTTGGAGAGCACTTTCATCTCTCCAACATTCCTTATCGGACATCCGCAAATCATGTCTCCGCTGGCCAAGTGGCATCGATCAATTCCAGGATTGACAGAACGTTTCGAGCTCTTCGCTGTCACTCGTGAAATCGCGAATGCTTACACAGAGTTGAATGATCCAATCACTCAACGACAACGTTTCGAGCAACAGGCCAAAGACAAGGACGCTGGAGATGACGAGGCTCAAATGATCGACGAGACATTCTGCAATGCTTTGGAATATGGACTTCCACCAACCGGAGGATGGGGAATGGGAATCGATCGATTGTCGATGATTCTCACCGACAACAACAACATTAAGGAAGTGCTCTTGTTCCCGGCAATGAGACCAGAAGATGGTACAGAGAAGAAAGAAAGCGACGCACCATCAACATCTGCCTAATTTGTGGTCATTATTTCAGTTTTCCCATTTCGGTCATCTTTGGTTATTATTTATATATTGCAATTGTTGCCCCTTCCGGCGATACACATTGAAATCTCTTTCCCCCTATCTATCTTGTTTTTGTTACCAGAGTTTCTCCAGTATAAACCATTGTTGCTATCCTAATCCTTCTCGAATTCAGCTGAATTTCAGCAGTGATGAATCAAGAATTGATATTTGACGGGAAAAAAACAACTTCTAGTTCCAGAATGTATAATAGGTTGGTAAAAAAGTAATGCGCTTTTGGTCAGAACTACTTCGAACCACAGCTAGTGTAGTTCTACAACAGGTGCATCCAATCTTTGCTCATACATTGGCAGAAAAGGGTCGATAATAATAAAAAATACCCCATCGATTGATATACTTTCGTTTTGGTTTTGCATAAATTTTAAGTACATCAAAAATGCGCATTACTTTTTTACCAACCTAATAGTAAGTTCAGTTTCAGAATGTATAGTAATAAAAGCCTTCAAAGGCGTCGAAGACAACAAGTCACAGAAAGTCTGTCGGAAGAAAAATTCTCAAATTCTCTGATCCGCCTGAATGGTCAGAGCCTTCTGGATACAACTGGAAACAATACAACGACCAGAAACAACAGTTCTGATGTAGTCATAGGTTTTTAACTGATAATTTGGTCAAATTGAGACTTTTTGGTTTAGTTATCATGGAGGGGCGTGGCAGTAGTGAAGGCCAGATCGGAATCGCGATGCATGATGTTCGACACCCAGAAATCAATTTGTGTGAGTTCGTGGATTCGAGAGAATACGCGACACTGAAAACTATGATCAATGTACATGAAGCTTATGATGTAAGGACAAAATGATTGCTGAAGAATTTGAAAAGAACCAAATTATGATTTTTAGATTGTAATTCAAAATGGAAACGAGGAACGAGGAGCAACAAAGCTTCTTGGAGAAGCCTTAATGACTGCCTTTCCAGATGCTTCTTTACAATCAATTCATGCGAAGTTAGCCGTAATTTAGAGAAATTTCCAGAAATCTCTATTTTCAGATACTTCAAACCCGAAAGAGGTCAAAGCCAACTCGAATCCTTGATGAACGCAGAAGTTTCCACCGTATCAGAAGGCTGTTTTCGTCGTTCTCTTGCTCTTGGCGCATTGGCAGTTCTACTCAAATACATTCATGAGACTCGATGCGTCTTCTTTCGTGTAAAATCACTGCGTATCAAAGAAATGGGAGTGAATGATACTTGCATGATCGGTGAGTAAAATTTTTGGAGAAGGGGTCTTATTTTTGTACTTTTGCAGATTTTGTGTCATGGGAAAGTTTGGAAATAATTGACAAGGATGACGCTAGTGTGGGTCATAGAAGATTCTAGCTCGAAGTTGAGAAATTGATAATTTCAGAAAGCAAGAAAATGTCAGATGAAACAGAAAAGAACACTGATGTCCGTTTTGAATCACACCGTAACTGTAAGCATAAAGACAACGCCATAGTAAATAGTTCAATTGAATTATTTCAAGGCCAATGGTTACCGTCTTCTTCGATCTAACGTTCTGCAACCATCCACACATATATCAACTATCGAAGCTCGTCAAGAGTCCGTTGAAGAGCTCATCGCAAAACCACAATTGAAAGAAAAACTGAGAAGAACTCTGTTGAGAGCTCATGAACTAGACAGAGTTATTGCAATGTGTATTCAAACATCGTCTTCGTGGACCGTCAGAGAATCTGAAGCGAAAATCAACCAGATCATCAAATTGATTCAAACCCTGAAAGTCATTCAAGGCATCAGAGAACTTCTTGTTTCGGCACGAGTTAAATCCGATTTGTTAAACGAAAAAACGGAGGTTAGGAGGGTAAGGAAGTATATCCAGATGGAACCTTTCTTTCAGTTTCTCAAGGATCCTCGTTTCGACCAAATCATGAATATTCTGCTTGAGAAAGTGGATGATTCACTTTGCGACGGCCGTAAGAACTCGCTACATCTTCAGAATACGAAGTGTTATGCCGTTAAGCATTATGTGGCAGTTCAGTTAGATCTTGCGAGACAAACATACGAAGAGTTGATCAAGAATGTTGAGGAAATTGGTGAGCAGCTTACAGTATTTCCTCTGATATGAGCCCATCCAAATCGTCAACTCTGAGCTAAATTATCTGTTTTTCTTCAAAAAATATCAAAAAGTAGTCAACTGATAAAATATTAATGATGTTGTGATCAATATTTTTTCGGTTTACATATGCTTGATATCTCTTACAGAAATCGAAATAATCGAGCTCAAAATTGACGATTTGAATTGGTCTTCTATTAGAGGAAGTACGGTAAATAAAATACGAACGGACGTTTTTATAGGAGCTCGGGAAATCGCAGAACATTTTCACAATAGTTCTTCAGTTCGGATGTCATTCTCACAGGCTCGCGGGTTTCACTACACTTTTGTCACTCGCGAAGCTGAAACGGTGACCATACCACGGGTGAGAACATGAGCCAAAAATCTACTTCTTTTAATATATTTCAGCATTTTCTAGAAGTATTCCGTAATAGAACGACAGTGACATTCAACTCCAGACAAGTAATTGCTTGTAACGGTTGGTCCAAAGTTGTCTAAATATAGTCAGAAATGATCAAAAGTCGGTCTAAAGTTTAAATGGTCGGAAATTCCACTAAAAATTGTTTAAAATCTGGTAAAATGATTCTAAAATTGAGTTGAAACCTTCTTGAAACGTCTGAAAATGTCTAGAATTGGTCTGAATTGTTTCAAAAATGACCTGGAAATTGTCTGAAAACGTATGAAATCCAGATTAATCAACCAATCGATAACATCCCAGATCGCCTCGAACAAGTTGTAGCTGAAATTTTTCTTGCGAGTGATGTGATCGTCTGTGACATGATTGATCAAATGCAACCAATGATTCCTGTACTTTACTATGCCATGGATGCTCTTTCAACAATCGACTTTCTCTGTGGACTAGCAACATATTCCGATTCAAGAGACACGTGTCGTCCATCGTTTGGAAAATCGTTTTCAGTCAGTCAAGGTCGTCATCCGATTCTTGATTGGGCGGATTCCGAGAGAACCGTCACAAATGATACGGTATAATTTAGTTAAAGGTGCGTGTTTCTGAAGTACTTATTAATTTATAGTGTTTGACTAGAGATCGTCGGTTCGGAATCATCACAGGACCTAATATGGCTGGAAAGTCAACGTATTTGAAGCAGGCAGCACTGATTTCGATAATGGCTCAAATTGGATGCTTCATTCCAGCAAACTACGCAACACTGCCAGGTGATAAAACCTTCCCTCTTGCTTTATAAATAATTCGCTTATTTGCAGTTTTTACTCGAATTTTCTCAAGAATGGGTCATAATGATGAGCTCGTTCGAAACAAATCAGCATTCGCTTCCGAGATGTCAGATGCTGCGTCCATTGTACAGTATGCCGATGAGAACTCTCTTGTAGTTCTTGACGAGTTGGCACGTAGTACATCAACAGAAGAAGGGATTGCTATCACATACGCGATTTGTGAAAAAATTTTGGAATTGAAGGTTGATGATCTAAACTGACTAGGGAATGGTGGAAATGGGTCATGGAGTTATGGCACATGACCTATAGAATTGGAAAGCTGAGAAAAAGTTATCTATGAATAGGCAATCAGAATCTGCTAAGCGATAGACAGCTTAGAGAAGATTAGGTTTTAAGCTCTGGATTCATAACTATTTTCCTCAATTTCAATAGAAATTTTAGATAGCGTGAACATTAAATTTGAGGAAAACAGTAGTAAATCCAGATCTTTAGAACTAATTTTTTCCGACCTATTCACCGTTCAGCAGATTCTGATGGCATATTCGTGAATAACTTTTTCTCAGCTTTCCAATGATATAGGACATGTACCATAACCAATTCGCATTATTCCCTAGTGAGCTTTGAAAATCAAGGTCTTCTTTCAGAGCTATACATTCCTGGCCACCCATTTTCTCGACATTGCCGCCCTTGCCACTTTCTCCAATGCTATTGACAAGTATCAAAGTTTCGACCTTCTGATTGACGTAATACTACAAATTTCAGCTATCACTTTTTGCCGCAAACTGAAGAGAATTCCCTGAAACGTCACAAGCTATTACGAGGACAATATAAAGGACCATTATACGGTATAACTAGTTTATTAGGGTTAAATACCGTAATCTGCGTTAAAGATGGTGCAGTCAATAAAAATTCTGTAGTTCAATAAAATGTGTCTCTAGTGGGGGTGAAATAAACGGGTTGAACCCGATATAATGAGCAATTGATCAGTTCAAAAGAAGACGTCACTGGATGGGTAGATACGACGTATCAATGCCGAGTACTTGTAAAAGTGCTCACAGCTTCTATTGTAGTCTCCAGTTTTCGATGATTCTAGGTATCTCTTGGTGAGTGGGAGTAAGACGGGCGGTTTCATCGGACAATATCTGGAATTTGATGACGTTCAGAATCTTACGAACTTGACTTACGTCTCGGTATGATTCATTTCTCCACTGGCTCCGCAAATTTTGCATGGAGCCAAGGCTTTTAGCTGATCGCATCTCTTGCGTGTATGTGTCTCCCATCTTGGGTATCCTATCGATCGGCAGTATCCGCACTGAAAAAGAATAGCACTTGTTTCTAGTAACATTTTCAAAGACTCACACCGTAATCTCGTCTTTTGAACAACGACGGCAAATCTGGTTCGGATAGAGTTTCTCTTGGATTCTTTTCAGCCTCCTCTGCTGCAGCGGCTTCGAATGAGCCATTACTCGGTGCACAGTCCTGAATCCAATTGTGAAATTGGGTATACAGATTGGTTTCCGACGCGTTTTGTGAATCGAAGAAGCCCGGATTTTCGGGTACAATGAATGTTGGAAGTCGGAGACGTTCGCTCGATATCAGCTAGAATAGCGTATAAATTTTGCTTTCTTACTATGGAATGGTGCAGAATATATTACCATATGGTGCTCATGGAGTTATGGCACATGACCTATTTCATTGGAAAGCTCAGAATCTTGTAAGCGGTAGACAGCTCGGAGAAAATTAGGGTTATGCTCCGGATTCACTACATTTTTATTCATATTCAATAGAAATTTTAGATCTCGTTTATTGATATTGAGGAAAACAGTAGTAAATCCAGAACTGCAGATCTAATTTTCACCGAGCTGTCTATCGCTTAGCAGGTTTCGATTGCACATTCGAAAATAACTTTTTTCTCAGCTTTGCAATGATATAGATCATTAACCCTAGTTACTATTTTACTCACCGTCCCGACAGGTTCTGTGTCAAATGAGAAGATTGAAGAGTTGGAAGTATCCGGTCTTCTCGGAGAATCTTGCGGTGGAGTGAGCAGAAACGGAGGCACTCTATTTGCGAGAGGACTCACGAATCCTGCCTCGGCGAGTGGCGAATCAAAAGTCGGCAAGGGAGTTGCTGGTCGAAATTGTTCATCCTTAAATTGAAATTTCAATCGTTTGAAAGAGAAAAAGAAGCATAAACTTACTTCTAAATAATAGAAAATCTCCTCGCTGAGATCGTCCGAATTCTGCGAAGACGTAGTATCGGAAGGAGTCTCTAGTGACATATTTCGAAGATGAGAGAACTTCTCAACTGCCGACTTTTTTCATTGCGTTTTGCTTGCTTTTGAAAAAAATCGCGCCAAAATGTTATGCCAAACAAAACAAAAAACAAAAGATCAAAAAAGTTTTCAAAGACTACTGTAGTTGTTTTCAGGATTTGAACTTGTCGAGTTGTCAACTTTTCCGGATGAAGTTTTCGAGCACGCACAACAATTGGCAGAACAATTGAGAGATCAAGTAGCCGAGTGAGTTTTAAAATAGTTTTTTTTTCAATTTTTTTGATTTTTAGAAGAAGAGATTTCGAATCAGAACGTCGTCGTATCAAAGTCTTTGTCAGCCACCGGCTACGAGAAACTGCTGAATATTTCATGGTCCCTTTTTTAATTTTTCTTCTCAGGACTAAAAATTTCTAATCAAATTTTTTTGTTCAGGAAGCATACGGTGAAAAATGGAAAGAAGAAAAATCGGCGGTTGAGAAACTGAAATCACTTCGGAATTATATGATTGAGGAGTTGGTGAAAATCGATAAGCAAGAGGAGATGGATCAAAGTAATTGAATAATTTTCTATTGTTACTGTTCATTTGTCAGCATTCCCATATCATTTCATATATATTTCAAACATGTCCTCCGGGTTATGGTAGAAACATACAGTGCTTGGGTTCAAGCCAACGGGTCAAAAAACGCGCCCCAAATAACTTTTAGGCCAGAAGAAATTTAATAATTTCCAAGTAGACGTGGATTTGACCTAATTAGTTTTAATCAACGAGTTGCAACGCGTGATTTTTTCGTGCAACGTTTAAAAGTTTGATCCTCAGCCACATAATTCAGCAGCGAATTTTTTCTAAAATCTCACGTTTACTGGGGCGCGATTTCTGACCCATTGGCTTGAACCCAAGTGAGTGCGTAGATTTTCTTTTATTTAAATCATGTTCTATAGATTATAGCTCAATGTATTTGTTCATTATAAAAAAGATTCGTTTTATGATTATTTATAGAAGAACATTATATAAGTACAAAAACGGGGTGAAAATGGGTGCCTTTCAGAAATCGGCAAATAGCCCAAAAACTAAAGAGCCAAAGAATTTCGAAAAATTATGTGAATGCAAAATTTTTAGCCTTGGTTGGTTTCGGCCTACAGTAATCCTTCTCAATTTCCAATTTTTTCCACCTACATTAATCCTTTTCATTTTCAAATATCCGTTCCCTGAAATAATCCTTTCCATAATATTCCTTTTTACTTTCAAAGACCTTACAGTAATCCTTTTCAATTTCGAATATTCTTCCCCTACAGTAATCATTTTCATTTTCGAATATTTCCCCCTACAGTAATTCTTCGAAAATTCTTAGCTGCCAATTCTTTTAACCAGAATATTTTGCAATTTTATTGAAAAAAAAACCATATTCATAGAAAAAATTTATTCGATTATTTAATGAGACAAAAAAGAGAGGACTCAATTTGAGCTGGAATTATATTGTTGGAGGTTGGAAGAGGATGTTGAGGGAGCAATTAAAACTAGTACCGGCTTTCATTCTTGAAAATGCATATCATAAGAGAACTAGTACAAATTTGTTCAGACTTTTGGGATAGCAATCTTCAAAGCTTGATCCAAATCAGCAATCAAATCATCAAGATCTTCGATTCCAACGGAGATACGGATAAGGTTATCAGTGATTCCAAGAACTTCACGAGTCTCAGCAGGCACTGAAGCATGAGTCATGATGGCTGGAAGTTCAGCAAGTGATTCGTATCCTCCGAGAGACTCAGCCAATGTGAATACTTTGAGAGCAGATAAAAATGCTCTGCTCTCCTTGAGTTCTCCTTTAAGATAGAATGAAATCATTCCTGACATTCCTTTGGTTTGTTTCAAGTGAACTTCGTGTTGTGGATGAGATTCCAGAGCTGGATAAAGGACGGATTCGATTCTGTCGTTGGCTTCGAGGTACTTGGCAACAGCCATCGCGTTTTCGTAGTGAGCTCTCATTCTGATATGAAGGGTTTTGAGTCCACGATTGACAAGGAAGCAGTCGAATGGAGATGGAACGGCTCCGACAGCTGAAAATAAATATAAATTTTAAAAAAAGTATTTTTCCCCGGTTTTCTGGAATACTGACTTTAAAGATTTTTTTCAAAATTTACAGCCATTTTTAATGCATCCAAAGTTCCCAATTCTGGGATTTCTGAGCCCAAAAAGCAACCTTAAGCCACGCCCAGATTCCCAAGATTTCCAAAGTTGAAACCAGTGCGACCGTACACCCCTAGCGCGTCGAGACCCGCAAGAGTTCATACCATTTTACTAGGATTTGTCAAAAAAAAAGTTTTGTTCCTTTCAAAAAGCTGTGTAACACTTTGAACTGCTCAGAAATCCCAGATTTGGGAACTTGTGATTGGAAGGATATAAAAAAAAGTAAAAACTAACCCAATTGCATGAAGAAAAGATGTTGTTGGAACTCATCGTTGTCAGTGATAACAGCTCCCATAACAACATCGGAATGTCCGTTGATATATTTGGTAATCGAATGAACAACAACATCAGCTCCCAAAGAAATTGGTCGTTGGAAGTATGGAGACATAAATGTGTTATCAACCACTACAACAATCTCTGGATTGGCCTTCTTGGCGACTTGAACGATGGCAGCGATATCGACAACTTTGAGAAGAGGATTCGATGGAGACTCGAACCAGACCATTTTGGTGTTTGGCTTGATGGCCGTCTCAAGATTTTTCACATCAGTCAAATCGACAGAATCCACTTCCAATCCGTGATTTGGTACAGCGACACGACGAATGTATCTTTGAGTTCCTCCATAAACATCATCGGAGCAAACAATGTGATCTCCGGTTTTCAAAAGATTAATGATTGCGGAAGTGGCGGCGAGTCCAGAGGAGAACACCTGACAATGCTTCGCATCTTCAAGAGCAGCCAAATTCTTCTGAAGAACATCACGAGTTGGATTTCCAGCACGCGAGTAGTCGTGCCCTTTTGGCTCTCCTGGATTGTCCTGTTTGTATGTGGAGGACATGCTGATTGGTGGGACAACCTATAAATCATTGAGTTGGTTTTTTTTGTAATAATTAGAATACCGTAAAACCTCTAATAGAAGAGCTCTCTAAGCTTCAACTTTGAGCCACCTTATCTCGGTTCCTGTCAAACACGTAAAAAAGTTGTCAACTGATAAATTGTTCATCATAGTATGACAAATATTTTGTCAGTTGACACATTTTTGATATATCTTACAGGACTCGAGATAATCATGCTTAAACTTGACAGTATGGAAGCCCTCCTATTAGCGGTTTTACGGTAGGACCACCAACCTGATTCATATCCCATTGTTCTGGCTCTTGTCCAACGTGGATGGCGGCGGTTCCAAAGTGTGGGAAAGTAGACATTCTTCGACTGCAAAAAATCGAGACTGATGTGTCGAGACGAACGATAATGATTTGGATTTATAAGAGAGACAAAAAACTAGGCGAAAAGGGGACAGGCATAGAGGCAGAGAGAAAGAGAAACGAGGGCGGGGTCAAGATACGTTTTGTGGGAAGAAGAAGAAGAAGAAAAAAGGAAATTTCGATGAAATCGTTAAAAATACATATTGGTCGAAATGACAAAAAAGAAAAGGAAGACACACTAATCTTTTTCTCCTATTGGACGAGACTATTTTGGATTAGTCGATTAGGCAAACAGTAAAAAAAGAACAACGGAGAACAGAAAATAAATATTGAGAGCCGGAATCAAACCATGGCAAACGGTAGAATACCTACTGTTGCCCCTCTTTACATGTATCTAATTTTCGTAGAGTTCAAATAAAATTTAAAAGTTTTTGTTCGGAATCCAAAAGAAGTCAACCCTATAACCCAACTTTGAGCTTAATTATCTCGGTTCTTATCAGAGATATCAAAATTTTGTCAACTGATAAAATATTGATAAAATAATGATGAATAATTTACCAGTTGACAACTTTTTGATATCTCTTACAGGAGTCGAGATAATTGAGATTAAAGTTGACGGTTTGGGTCTATTAGAGCCCACCCAAAGCGTCAACTTCAAACTTAATTATCTCGGTTCCTATGAGAGATATTAAAGTTTTGTTAACTAATAAAATGTTGGTCACATTATGATAAATAATTTATCAGTTGACAAATTTTCGATATCTTTACAGGAATCAAGATTAATGAGCTCGAAGTAAAAAGTTGAGAGCCCTTCTAGGCTTTCAATTATTTATAGAATCGACAATCGAGTAACAATCGGGTCAATTGAGTATGGGCTCTTACGTAACAATATTGGTCACTTGGAACACTTGCTGAAAACCGAGAAAAATCGAAACTTGTAAAGAAATATTGGGGTCTAAAGAAAGATATCGCGGAAGGTTCCGCGAGATTTTGCAGGAAATGAAACCGGATCTCACGGGAATTGATACACAAGATGCAGCTGATACAAAAACATATCAAAACATATTGTATATTGTCTATTATTGTCAAAAATCATTCTTCTGAACCCCTTCAGTCAGAAGATTTAAAAATAAAGACCAAAAACAAAAGATTGAGCTTCATTTTGAAAATTAGAATTTTTTGCGAATTTTCTTTCAAATTAAATATATTGCTTCGAAACACAAAGTTTGTAAAGTAGTACAAAATTTAGATTTTCAGATTTTCAGACATTTTTTGAAGCTACTATTATTTAGCTTATTTTCCAACTTTAGGCTCATCCGACAATACCGTAAAACCTTTATTAGAAGGACTCCCACACTGTCAAGTTTGAGTTACCGTAAAACCTCTAATAGAACGACACCCGGATCGTCCACTTTGAGCCTATATATCTCACTTCTTTTGAAAGATATCAAAAAGTGGTTAACTAGTAAAATGTTTATCAGGATATCAGCGGTACCGAGCTGAAT